AGATAGAAATATATATATATTTGATAAATAGACCGATAAACGGATATATAGGTAGATAGCTAGAGAGGTGTGTATATCCATCTATAAAGACTAGCCAAAATCCATAGTCTCATCAGGAGGTGCTGAATATCAGCGGTCAACTATTATAAAAATACATAGATAGTACTGATGCATAGTTTAATCAGAAGGTGCTGAATATGAGCGGCTACTATCGTTTCGATACCATACATGTCATAGAGGAGCCTTAATCGAACTGTTAATATTGGTACCTCGGCTACAGATGGACAAAGAGTATTTATACAAAGACACCATCTACACTCTGACCAATTTCTTGAGTGATTCGGAGTGTGCTGCGTGGATTGAGTTTGGCGAACGAGAGGGATTTGAGGCATCCTTTCAAAAGCAGAATAGGGAGTGTGCTCACCGCGATAACGGCCGGGTACGCTGATAGATTGTAGCATTGAATATTTGCGTGTATGCATCGATTTTGTGTTAGTATATAGATAAGTATTCAGTTTCTTATACATACGCACATATTCCTAGAGGTAGATGAAGAAAGGTACAACTTCGGCTCATCTCGACACCAATTTGAGCCAACATGCGGTAACACACTTCCAACTGCAACAGTAGGCTTCCCGACACTTGTTGCCACTCTGTGTTATAATCGTGTCTATGTAAGATGTTCTCGCAATTGACTTCTCAGTGATATTAAATTCAGCGACAGTGTCATCATATTCTGTTCCGATTACTGCTGGTGTGATCTAAATATTATCGCTCTAAGCAGATATATTTATTCGCTGAAATGCAGATATCGATTGAGAGCGAAAGCATAGCGCAGGCCTTCTTTCTGAGACTCAATCCCTCGCTACCTGAAAAATACGGCACGCGTCAACTGAATAGCTGCAATACGAATATCAGATTATGTATGTATATAGAGCTCTTCGCCTGTATAGTAGATTTATATTTTGTGTGAGAAAGGTTATGAATGATCATGGCTGCATTTGTGTGTATAGCATAATATGACAATCTTGTTTGCTTGTGTGTATTGCATCGTCATCGTCTATAACCAACAAGTGGTGCCTGTAAGCTGGATTACAGTAAACCTAACATTGCAGCCCGTGGTTGACTTTGAATTTTGTTCGATTCACGCAACAGAGAGTCGGGGTACTCTAGTTGGGCACAATCAAGTCCATTTCTACAAACCAGGCAGTTGAAGAACATTTGAAGCCAAGACTTGTAAACGAAAGTAGAACCTTCTGATTGATTGATTACCTGTACAAAGCGAACGTCTGCACAGAGTCGCTAAGTATCATGACAGTGATATATGAACCTTGGAGGTACGATTCAAAACACAGTGTTTTATTAAACAGACTTGTACACGTTTCGCAATACTTCATTGGCCAGACAAATACGGACCTGGACAACGATTTGGTCGCCATGTGGATGAGAGTGTAGTCGACAGCAACGGGCGGAAGAGTGTGTACACTGTGCTAGTGTACCTTAACGGACACAACGAGGATAACACATCCGAAACACCACGAAGTGGTGACGGTGGTGAGTTGTTATCTTGGGCAGGACATAATGTCGCTTTGAAATGTATTGAGCGGAGATGTCATTTTCTCGGGTTGCGACATTTCTGCATTCCGATGCATGTGCGGTGAATACGTTATTAAGGTGTAGCCATACACACGGAGAATTGTACATTTTTTTCAGTATTACAGGAAAGTATTTGCCTTTGAATTTTCTCGTGTCTGTCGTCACAATGTTTTGTGACTCCGATATACGTGTATGCATGGAATTCGTATGTACATATGTGTAAAAATGCTTGATTTCATTTCTGTACTATCTATCTGTTGCGATCACTCTGTGTTTGATGGGCTAGAGTGCACTGGGTCGTTTTGTGCTTTGCGTTATACGTGTGACTGGCACAGGCGCCACAGCGATATTCTCCCGGGAGATATTACATAGTGGGTTCGTCGAAGAGTTGTATCGAGAAAAAGATAAATGATGCAACTAAAATTGATTATTATTTTGCTTGTAATGTTCTATGTTGGAACACAGCTGATTTAGAAGCCATCAACACATTGGTAGGGGGTGAAACCAAGTTCTATCGCAGGCATCACGGGAGTGCCATCGCATGCGCCGTGCGACCGAAGAAAGGACAGGCACTGCTGCACGGGCATGGTGCACAGTGCCTTACACACGAGGGTGCTGAGGTCAAAGAAGGAGTGAAGTATTTGCTAAGAACCGATGTTATGTATGCCTGACACGATCATTAATGTGTCTGTCTGAACTCAGTGGGGGGTAATACGGGAAACTAATTTATATCGCAGTTTAAAGGAGGATACCATCGCATGCGCTGTGCGGCCGAGTGAAGGAATATACACTGCAGCACCGGCATGGCACACAGTGTCTTACACACGAGGGCTCTGAGGTCAAAGAAGAGGTGAAATACCTATTAAGAAGTGATATCATGTGCACTTATTAAGCTTGGTGCTGTGAACCTAGTTATAGCCAACATCCATGGGAAGGCGTGTGTGAGAAACTTGATTTATCGCGCTTACCACGAAGCTGCCGTCGCAATCATTGCGAGACACAAGAACTGCCAAAAGATTCTCATATAAGAGCCTCTAAGGTATAGAAGGAAGAAGTATATTCTAGGTAGTGGTATATTGTAAGCCGGACAAAGTCCTGCGAAGCTGCCTGATGTGATTTATGTATAGGAGCTGTTCAAGTCATCAGATATGGCATATAGCATGGTAAAAGTTCTACTGAGGATATGTTTGGAGGTGTGAGTGTGGAAGCATACATGGGCATTGTCCATGAGAAAAGATTCTTTTCTAACGTCAGAAGATCAGGATGGACTCAATTTGGCTTGCAAAGATACAATGCTAAATCAACTGCCAAAGTTGTGACTTGAAGGAGAATTGAGAAGAAATCGCACTCACTTAAGTAACAATGCCAGGGATTTGGCGATCTTAAAATGTAGCGGTGCACAAGACCACGGCCCTAACATCTATATGGAGGTGGATTATCCATTCTGGTATCAGTTTTTCCATGGTTGCCTATGGTCTATTCTCAACTCACATCAAGACAGTAATTTATCCTCAAACATATCGATCGATTCCGGAAAACTCCTTCTGCTGACACCAGATGGCCACATCACAGACTAATAATCTACTGTAGGGAACACCGCAATTATCGTCGAACAAATTATTTCGATTGAGCTTTATTATTCTGATAAGTATATTAAATTCCTCATTTCGAGAGTTTGGTGTTTATTTGAACCTTTTTAAAACTTGCTTATATTATTGTCTACCCCCAACCTCATCACGAGCCACACACTCAATATATTGTGGGCCGCTGAATATATATGTAAAAAGGCCTGCTGGCTGATATCCTCTTTGCTTAAGTAGTCTGTATCCGATGGCGATATCTCAATACTCGCTTTCGTATCTCAAATGTGGCTGTTACCATGGATGGCCTACAAGGGTCACATCACACTGCATGCACCGCCGGAGGGCGTTCTCTACAATCTCGTGGGGCCTGAGATATCTATTCCTTTCCCCAATACCTTATGCAGACCTACTATAACGCCCGGTCATCTACTCCTTAATATATTAATCTGTAGACCTGTATAAAACCACGCACCACTAACAGATCAACAGTCTTACTGCTCTATCCATAAACCCTCTCGAGCCTCCTACATCGGCTGAGCAGCCAAACATGTCGGAACCGCGGTTTTCAGAATCCGGCCAAAACCCAATACATAATTGGCATGTCGAATTAGGTCAGTTCCAAATTCCAAATCATTCTGTCAGTTTCAAGATCTTCCCCAATGGCGTATCGACATTACAGACTGGACACGAGACACGCGCATTGTTTTTCTGTTGTGTAAGTTGAAAGTTGGCAGCAATCAGCAATTGAAAGCTGTAATATTTGGGAACTGGAAAAGTTGACTAGTACTTGCATCGAGGCTTGGCGTAGTCTTGGCGACAAACAATTTGAATGTCAGCGGACATTCAGAGGATCTATTGGATCTCAAAAACAAGGTATGCGAACTACATACAAGCGCAATGGTGACAAGCGATACATGTTTATTTTCAAAAAAATTATTTTCACATACCTCGGAGCGGAGATTGCTGTTAGTGCACTCGCGGCAGAAGAAGTGACCGCATGCCAAGGCCTGATCATAGAAGGGTAGAGAAAGGAGTAAACTGAGTGAATACAGATAATATATATACAGACAGATGTTACGTGTACACACATATGTTGAAAACGGAATACTGTTTGAATCATTCAAGGGTAGCAAGAGTGAGCGATACCAGTCCTTCTGGAACAGAAAAGGTGTTCGAGAACTAAGAGGTAAATGAAGAGTAGAAGTAGAGGGGAGAAGTGAGGCAAAAGGAATATATATCGACAAGGTGAGAAAAGAAGACGATGGAGAAAAACGCACAAAGTTAGACTGCTTATCGTATAGTATGGTGGTTTCACACACACGCACAACGCTGCATGATACGGCTGCGATGCGTACCACACCAAACCATACTTCAAGATACAGCCTAGAAGTAATAAAGCACGTGTAATAAAATCGGTTCGTATACGTATGTCTCCACCTGTAGTAACCCACAAAAAATCGTTGTCTAGTCGGGTGCAGCCGAGCTGTATAGGCATTTATTATTGAAAACCCATTCACACACACACACCCGCTAAGTATCCCAGCAGTCGTATTATACCACGCCATATAATATTGAGAAGCAAGCAAATGGCTGTTGTGTATAGAGAGACCTAAATACACACAACGTTGCACAGTATTATTACTATGAGTGCGACACCTATATATGGTTGTGTCACTGTCGTTAAGTGTATGTATTGGTATCTGCGATCGTATCTGTAAAAACTCCTATACATATCTATATACGTATAACACACCTGATCTCGAGTAGCCGAGCCGTCGCAGCCGGGACACTCAGTTCGTTTGTGCAGTGATCGGTAGCCGGAAGCCAATTGGCTCAGCTGCTTCTGGGTGGCCTCTAACTTCTGGGTCAAAAGCATGACATCGGGAGCACATGTGTTCACGTTGGGGCAGAGCTTGTCTCCGGTCACGGTGTTGCTGCCCAAGGACCAAGCAATACCTAAACGCGGAAGTAAGCAGATGTGATTTAGAATAGATAGCTGTATCTATGCATACTATATTGAGTGTAAGCGGAGAATAGTAAGGGGTGTACAGGTGTTCAGATTGAAACACAGTTTGTCCCCAGTCACGGTGTCGCTGTCCAAGGCCAAGCTATAACTAGAAGCCGAAACTAGCAGAACCTTATCACATGTACAATAAAAGTTCTAGCCCAGTTTACGGACATTGATAGGAGTGCAAGTGGTGGAAATAAAAGCATGTCCTCAGGGGAGCAGATATAAATACACAGTTTCGCCTTCAATTTCGATTTTGCTGCCGGAGGATCAGGATATGCCTAGATTATGTTCAACTTCAAAAT